TCCCTTCCTTCCTTCCTTCCTTCCTTCCTTCCTTCCTTCCTCTATCCCTTCCTATCTCCCTCATTTCTTTCCTCTCTCTCCCCCTCCCTACCCCCTCCTTCCTTTCTTCATTTATTCATTCATTTTTCCTTCCTTTCTTCCTTCAATTTTCTATTATTCTTTCCTTCTTCTTTCGTGGTCAGCACTTTTATTCTCTCCCCACCCCTGCCACCTCTCTGCTACTTCAACTTTACATCATATACAATTTTAGATCTGCTACTATAGGAACTTATTTCATATAATACTCGCATGTTGATGGCATCAATGAATAAACGTCTTACACAAACGCAGAATATATATATATATATATATATATATATATATATATATATATTGTTTACAATTTGATATATTTATAAGGGAAGAATAGTTAATTGGCGATTAAACGTTTATAGATCTGAAGATCACATTGAAGTGTGAAACTGAACCCTTGATTCCTATAGCCCCACTATATATATATATATATATATATATATATATATATAGAGAGAGAGAGAGGGAGAGAGATAGAGGGAGAGAGAGAGAGGGAGAGAGAGAGAGAGTTGTGTATTTCGACAGCAATCAATCTTTAATACATGTTTTGTTAAAAACGACTGACACGGTACTATTATTAAGTTTTAATTATGTATATTTTAATATTTTTTCTTGTATCCGAACACGTATACTATTTCATGCATACGGTTATTTTATTACTTAAACGTTATTTTTAACGGATACCCATATTTGAATAGACGTCCATGACTAAAAATTGCTTTGTTTGCGTTAGGATACGAAACTAAGTAGATATGAATGTTTCGAGAGTCTGAGAAAGATTTGCTTTCATAAGGCAATATTCATTTTTACTTGATCATCGACGCACTTCGTAGCCGAGACGGTCTAAAGCACGTTGGATCTAATGGCGGTTTCTCCTGCCAAGGGGGACTCAGGTCTGAATTCTGCCAAAAAGCGCATATGTTTCTTTAATAAAACTTCTCGGATATTCAAGCCAGTAGACGAAAACAAATAATCATGCTGTTTAATAAATAAACGGATTGTCTATACAAGTGCGAGTATCCACTAAAACATAACGTTGAAGTGATCAAATCTGTCGGATTAATAAAAATTAATCACTTCTTTAGTAATTTGCATACATTTTTTTCGCGCAAACATTTGTTTATCGGCTTTTGGATATATTTATTTAATTTCACTTTTCTGTTTTAAATCATGAATGTTATTAGCTTTGTTATTGTTTTTGTTTAATGTTGTTGCTCTATAAAAATATTTATTTAAACATTTTATCACATGTATTTTTTCACGCTTACATATACATACATATACACACATGCACGAACTACTTGCAAGCATACACACACATATATAGAGAGAGAGGAGGTGAAAGAAAGAAAGAAAGAAAGAATAGATAAAGACAGACAGAAAGACTTTCTTTTTCTTCTGATTCAATGATCTCATGTAACAGTGTCTTTCTTTTTTTTCTATTCCAGGTAACTGGCTCGTTTCCTTTTATTTTGCTGCTCATCATAAGGTTGGGGAAACTTTTTTTTCATTTTTCTTTCGTTCCACCACAAATCCCAATCCATCAAATAAATTCTTTTCTTTTATATGACTGCAAGCCTTGATTAATTTCTAATGTATGTGAATTACTCCATCCTTGTACGGCCTTACAACAACCTAATTAAGCAACACACTACCTTAACTGGCTTTTGAGCCTTGTATTGAGTGAACAATACGAAAAATAAATAAAAATGGATATCTATACATCTCTACTCTTTTATGAACGAACTTCACCATTTTTGTAAAGATTATTAACTGAGGAAAAATGAATATTATATATATATATATATATATATATATATATATATGTGTGTGTGTGTGTGTGTAAGAGCGCGCGGAATGGCGGAGAAAGAAATAATCTTCAAACACAGCTCTACAAATTTAAATAAATTTTATTATTGAGTATTTGTTTTCAAGTTGAAAGAAACGAATTACAAAGATCATCGCAAAACAAAATCCCACAACAGAAATATTTGCGTTAGGATGTTAGAAAAACAGAAAGTGTATACTTAATGGGTGAGTCACGTATTTACATTGTTTTATGAATGCATGTAAATTTCCAGCAGTCAGCATGTTAGCCGTCAGTAAACGAGAGCTATGTTATAATTACTACTAATATTTCCGTTGACATAACTCCGTTCCTATGTTTTTACCTGGTACTTACTTTAAAATCACTATTTTATTGCAAAAATTACTCGATAGAATATATATTATTTATACGAAAGGTGTAAGTAATCAGTTGTTCACACCCATAGTCAAAGATTTACCGAAAAACGGAAGAACTGAAAAATAACTTTGTGAATTTATGCGATCGTATTTACAATAGCGTATAGTTAAATTTACTAATCTCAGAAGTTTATTGGTTAATAAAAGGGCTTTTTTCCAAAGCTGTAATAAGGTTTATGATAACATTGCTGATTGGCTAATAAATACGAGTATGGAAATTCAAATTTAGAACCTACTTTTTGCACAAAAATGAGTTAGTTGAGATTCTTAGGGATATTACTTAAATCTATTGAATTTTTGCACAATTTTTAACGAGATTCCACATACACACACTCATATATATATATATATATATATATATATATGTGTGTGTGTGTGTGTGTGTGTGTGTGTGTGTGTGTGTGTGTGTGTGTGTGTGTAAATTTCAGATAGAATATTTCTGTAAAAGGACAATATGAATAAAGACAAAAGAACAACTTATCTTCGGCGACGCATTCCGTCCTCCGAGGGACTTTATCGAGGCAAATGCTAGAATTTTATTTTTCAACAAGTATTTATATACAAGAGCAAAAATGTTATTATTTTTTACAAATTTAAAAAAATAAGAACGCTCATAGATATCCATCGTTTTAGCCGAAAAGTCAGGCAACTATGGGGGACGCAATGTATAATAAACGAATAGGAGTACGTGATGTTCCTGAGTTTTCTGATTTGGGAGGCGGTGTTTTGTTTTTTGCAAATTAGTATTTAAATAAGTTGGGATTAACTTATGTGTTATGCTTAGCCAAAATTTGCTGCACAAGCCATGATCACTGATGGAAACTTTGTGGTGTGATGAGACGACCACACTCTACACACTTTCCCTCCAAGCACTACTATAAACAATGGAAGTGAGCGAGAACGTTATAACTTAGCGCGTATATTCACGTTCAAGGTCAATCTGTACCAAGCGTCTTCACTTCACTCTGAATATTTTAGCTCCGTTAACAACAACAGTCCCGATACTTTTTGATCAGACTCCTTATATATATATATATATATATATATATATATATATATATATATATATATATATATATATAGAGAGAGAGAGAGAGAGAGAGAGAGAGAGAGAGAGAGAAAGAGAAGAGAAACCGCAAATGTTTTTTGGTTATAATATGGATTTTCTAAAATATATATTATACTTTATTTTCCATATTTTTGCTACATCTGTTTATCAGGCGAAGAGTAATTATTTCCACATATTATTTAAAGGTATTAATTTTTTTTCCTTATGTTTTCTTATGTTTGAACATTGTCTTTTTTTAAGAAAATTTGGATTACTACTACATACAGAAGACAATTGTTAAACATGGGAAAACATAAGGAAAAAATTAATTCCTTTAAATAATATGTAGAAACAAACACTCTTTGAAAGAACCGAAACCCATGTAGCAAAAAAAAAAATATGGAAAATAAAGTATAATATATATTCAAAAAATCCACATTATAACCAAAAAATAATTCGGTTTCTCTTTTAAAATATACACTTTTATCTCGTTGGAACAACTATAACCTCTCCCTTTATATATATATATATATATATATATATATATATATATATATATATATATATATATATATTGTGTGTGTGTGTATTTAGGCAGCAATTTTTCATTGATGCATGTTTCATTAAATAATATAGACAAGTTTTGTCTATTTATTTTAAGTTCCTTTCATATTGTCTGTTAAGCTTAATAACATTATCATTGAAAGACGAAAGGAAATCACCATATTGATACATGTTTTAATCATATCTAAGCTTTCGGCTTGCATAAGCCATTATGAAAGATGACAATTACATTTCAATATATCAAATAATACACGGACAAATCAATAATGATAGTCTGTTTTTGTTGCATGAAAAATTTCAAAGCAACGACAAACTCGCATATACGAGACGCGGAAGCGAAAATCGCATCGCAGCTCGTGTTGTCACACAAGACCACGTGAAAGTGAAAACGAGAAGTATTAAGTATGGGGAGCCATTGGTTTATACCAATGGCTTCTATTATCAATTATAGACATTTAAGAATATATGTGGAGATTTCATAGTTTATTTTGTTCAGGTTAGGTTTCAACTGTTTTATGTATATAGCTTCAAGAATTTTTAGTTTTTGTTTATTGTTTTCATGTTTAAATATAGTTGTGTTTTCAACAAGGATTTTGCGGAATTGTCTACGCGGCCAGGCATGTTGTTTTAAATGCCTAAAAATGTTAGAGTTATCAATATGGTGATTTCCTTTCGTCTTTCAATGATAATGTTATTAAGCTTATCAGACAATATGAAAGGAACTTACTTAAAATAGACAAAACTTGTCTATATTATTTAATGAAACATGCATCAATATATATATATATATATATATATATATATATATATATATATATTCGATGCTTCACTTTTGTCCGATTTCCAGAGAAAATCTCTTTATATCCGGGTTTCTCTTATATCCGGGTCTCTTATATCCGGGTTACACTGTATTTGCTTACGTCCCTATTTAGGTAAAATAATGTCATTGTTTCTCGTTGTCTTCATCGCTGTTTCAAATCCTGTGTTGTCCACTATGTCATATTCATTCACGAGATTGGCGATCGTACCTATCCAGTATTTCTGCCATGACTCCTTGGGAATTGGCTTACGGACACATCACGTTCAAACACCGGTTCCCGTACGGTCACCAAAGTTAAGCAACGTCGAGTCTGACCAGTACCTAGATGGGCGTATGCTTGGGAATACAAGGTACTGTATGTCAGCTTGGATGTGCCAATAGTGTAATGGATAATGGCTTGAAATTAGAAATGGTAGATCCAAGTTCCAATTTCAGTTAAGTTCTTATATTCACTTACATGCAAATACCCTTGGGAAAGGCATGAATCCACCTCTTCCTCCCCCCAGCTATGGGCTAATTAGTAAGACTTGTATCATTATAATATCTCCCAAAAAATAAAATTACGTAGAAAATATTAAGATTTTGGGATTAAATAACCCATAGAGATTGATATGCCGTTTGAAAATACAACCAACTTGGGAAAGATAGTTTAGTGCTTTGCTGTTGTTTTCTGTATAGTTTGTCTTGTAGACTATTTCTTGTCACCGAATAAGGGACAGCCAGCGCGTGTTGTAGAGTGGTGGCCATCTAAGGCTAAACAACCAAGTCTATCCAACAGAATAGATGTTATATACCGTACCAATGAACACTAATGGATGTGTCCCAATCCTCATAAATACGTTGGACACTATTGCAAGTCGGGGGCAATATGCTGTCTAAGTAGTCCACCCCTAGCTGTGGCTTACCTACTTCACGTCGCTTGCGAGTATTGTATTTTGTTGATATTATAAAGATTACCATTTCATTTCCAACCTCCGTTTTGGTTATTCCTCATTCAGTAACCCTTTCAAGGTTACAATAGACGGATTGAAATCTCTCACAAGGAAAGTGAACGAAGGAAGTTAGGCTTGAATTCGAACTCAGCTCGCCAATATCAGTGACACCACCTGCACATCCTTTGCTGTAAGGAGAATAAAATTATAAAGGGTCTTTCATACAGCAGCTGCCAATTATTTCGTTTTTGTTGTTTAAGAGTCCTATTTCAGAGACACTAAACGATGTTTTTTGACGTCCCTGATAATGCTATCAATGACTGGAGCTAAATTTAAATGTCCTGTCTGATGACTTCTTCTTTCGCTCACCCACATTAAACGGGGCTGTTTATCAGTATTCCCCTGACGAGACTGACACTTTACTTGAAGTTCCGGTCGTACGAACCGTTTTCTATCTGCTTAAGCGGAACACGAAATGGTTAACGGACGACTGAAATTACAAGCGGAAATGGAGAGCAGAACATTCGAGTTGTCCGTCATTTTCACATTGAAGGAGGCCATGCCGTCCACGCATAAACAAGTCATAGATAGATAGATAGATAGATAGATAGATAGATAGATAGATAGATAGATAGATAGATATGATAGATAGATAGATAGATATGAACATAGATAGATAGATACATCATGATACCTCAAACTAGGATAGATAGATAGATAGATAGATAGATAGATAGATAGATAGATAGATAGATAGATATGAACAAACTGGGATAGATAGATAGATAGATAGATAGATAGATAGATAGATAGGATAGATATGAACAAACTAGGATAGATAGATAGATAGATAGATAGATAAGAAACATACTGAGATAGATAGATAGATAGATAGATAGATAGATAGATAGATGAGATAAGAAACATACTGATAGATAGATAGATAGATAGATAGATAGATAAGAAACATACTGATAGATAGATAGATAGATAGATAGATAGATAGATAGATAGAACAAATTGCGATACATCATGTACCTCAGTAGATAGATAGATAGATAAGAAACATACTGATAGATAGATAGATAGATAGATAGATAGATAGATAGATAGATAGATAGATAGATAGAAACTGTTATTTTTAACATTATTATAATATAAATACTGTCTACTATCCAATAGACTGTAAATAGTTACAATCATTTACTATATTTACTTAAGTTTTTATCTATAAAAATTCCTAAATAAACGACACATAGAAGATGTATATACCAGATTCAGGAATAGGTAAACATTAGTAATTTTATTTGAGTCTGTAAGCATTTATTTGGTTATAACTTTAAAGCCGCCTTATCGGACGGCATTTAAGCTAGCACTTGCGAAGTGCTCTTGATTGGGCCTTCATTGCAATAGGGTAGGGAAGAGTAGATGCTATTGGCAACAATAAGCTACAAAAGAACCCAAGAAAGAAAAATTATCGATATGAGTTTTATGCATCAAATATTTGCCACTTTTAGTGGAGTTTGATAGTTGATGCATTGGTGAAGAAATAGATAACCCATGTCGCTTTCAATGCAACATACAATTAAGAAATGAAATGAAATCTGGTCTGGTGCTTCTGCTATATGTCTCAAGATTCTTAGCAAAATTCAAAGAAAGATATGTAATGTTATTCCGGCTTCAGTCACCTTGCTCCTGAGTAATGTGGCTTCCCTATGACTTTTCTATATTCATTTTCGTGGCAATTGTTCTAATAAGGTTTCATTCCTGGTGAAATTAACCGCATGAATGTAATTGTAATACTAGAATGGCAACTGGCTATCGTCGTTTTACGATTGAAAAATGTAGATATAACCGTAAGTTCGATTCTAATAGTTCCTTCTCTCGTAATTTTTGTCTGTGGAACTCGCGTCCGGTTTCTTGCTTCCTTGCCAACTACTATATTCAAAAATCTAAATGCAACATTAATCGCCATCTTCTGCCTTCCTGAAACCTATTCTTTTATTCTACTCACTTTAAATGGGAAAAGTTGCTCCAGCCCTGCGACAAAACCTTCCTCATCGCACTAAACAGGCTGGATCGGTGTAATACTGACGCCATCCTTACAGTGGCCGTAGGGCTGGGTAGAAATCAATTTTTGTCCTTGGCCCATATGCATAAGTATGTGTACGGTGCCCCCCACGTTGAAATGAACTTGTATCACATCCAGCTATGGTGGGGAGGCAGGATAAATATACCTGACGTCTTCATATATTCGTTCACTTTCAGTGATCCCATGTGTCTTTTTTGCTTTATTGGCCTGCTTGTTGTGAAATGACTAAAATGAACTTGCCACCGAAAGATCAATAGCCAACTTGTCTCGTAGACCATTTCTTGTCGCCAGCTTGTTTTGTAGACCATCTCTTGCCACCGAATAATGGACAGCCAGCGCGTATTGTAGAGTATTTCTTGCCGCCGAATGAACAATAGCCAGCGTGTCTCGTAGACTATTTCTTGCCGTCGAACGATCGACAGCCAGCGTGTCTCGTAGACCATTTCTTGCCGTCGAACGATCGACAGCCAGCGTGTCACGTAGACCATTTCTTGCCGTCGGACGGACGACAGCCAACGTGCCACGTAGACCATTTCTTGCCGTCGAATGATCGATAAACAGCGTGGATCGTAGACCATTTCTTGCCGTCGAACGAACAATCGCCAGTGTGTCTCGTAGACCATTTTTTTGCCGTCGAACGAACAATCGCCACAGCCATTTCTTGCCGTCGAACGATCGACAGCCATTGTGTCTCGTAGACTATTTCATTTCCACAGCCAGCGTGTCTCGCCATTTCTTGCCGGACGATCGACAGCCAGCGTGTCTCGTAGACCATTTCTTGCCGTCGAACGATCGACAGAGCCATTTCTTGCCGCCGGACGGACGACAGCCAACGTGTCACGTAGACCATTTCTTGCCGTCGAACAAACAATAACAAGTGTGTCTCATAGACCATTTCTTGCCGTCGAACGAGCAATAGCCAGTGTGTCTCGTAGATCATTTCTTGCCGTCGAACGAACGACAGCCAGCGTGTCTCGTAGACTATTTCTTGCCGTCGAATGATCGATAAACAGCGTGGATCGTAGACCATTTCTTGCCGTCGAACGAACAATCGCCATTTGTCTCGTGACCATTTCTTGCCGTCGAACGAACAATCGCCAGTGTGTCTCGTAGACTATTTCTTGCCGTCGAACGATCGACAGCCATTGACCATTTCTTGCCGTCGAACGATCCACAGCCAAACGATCGCCATTTCTTGCCGTCGAACGATCGACAGCCAGCGTGTCACGTAGACCATTTCTTGCCGCCGGACGGACGACAGCCAACGTGTCACGTAGACCATTTCTTGCCGTCGAACAAACAATAACAAGTGTGTCTCGTTTCTTGCCGTCGAACGAGCAATAGCCAGTGTGTCTCGTAGATCATTTCTTGCCGTCGAACGAACGACAGCCAGCGTGTCTCGTAGACTATTTCTTGCCGTCGAATGATCGATAAACAGCGTGGATCGTAGACCATTTCTTGCCGTCGAACGAACAATCGCCAGTGTGTCTCGTAGACCATTTCTTGCCGTCGAACGAACAATCGCCAGTGTGTCTCGTAGACTATTTCTTGCCGTCGAACGATCGACAGCCATTGTGTCTCGTAGACTATTTCTTGCCGTCGAACGATCCACAGCCAGCGTGTCTCGTAGACCATTTCTTGCCGTCGAACGATCGACAGCCAGCGTGTCTCGTAGACCATTTCTTGCCGTCGAACGATCGACAGCCAGCGTGTCACGTAGACCATTTCTTGCCGCCGGACGGACGACAGCCAGCGTGTCACGTAGACCATTTCTTGCCGTCGAACAAACAATAACAAGTGTGTCTCATAGACCATTTCTTGCCGTTGAACGAGCAATAGCCAGTGTGTCTCGTAGATCATTTCTTGCCGTCGAACGAACGACAGCCAGCGTGTCTCGTAGACCATTTCTTGCCGTCGAACGAACAATCGCCAGTGTGTCTCGTAGACCATTTCTTGCCGTCGAACGAACAATCGCCAGTGTGTCTCGTAGACCATTTCTTGCCGTCGAACGATCGATAAACAGCGTGGATCGTAGACCATTTTTTGGCCGCCGAACTATCGATAGAACATTTTTTTATAACGTTGATTCGCGTGAGTTTTATTAATGCGCGTGCACAAGTTCTAAGCTTATAAAAATCGTTTTGGGGTACTTTCCGGGAAGCGATGGTCAACAAGCTACGCTCACAGACCCTTGTTCAACACTTGCTGAAATACTAAAACAAACGTTCAAAGTAATACTAAGCAAAGTTTAGAAATTATCAACAAAGAAAGGCGTTCGCTCAATATGGCTTTTCAATTGTGATTTGTTTGTCGTTCTCGAACTGCATAACAAAGCTGGGTTTACTGAAAAGCAACGGTGAGCATTGATTTTTTTCAAGTGGAGATTAAATTAAAATACGGAAAATAGCAAAGTATTAATATTTAAGTACCACTGGGAACTTAATTTCTATTCAATTCAGAAATTATTGATATTGAAAAGATTACCCGACGAAAAGACAGAAATCTGCTGATAGTGTCTGATTTTCAATGAAAACATTCTTTTTACAGAAAAATTATAATACCTGATTTTGTCTTCGCCAATGTATATTGGACACAGAATGTGTCGATCAAGGTTAACAACTTATTGTTCTGATGGTTTAATTAGTCGTCTCAATGTAGATATTATTATGGGGAAAGGATTGATTTTTCATGGCAATAATAGGAAATTAAATCAGTCACATTCCAATAATTAATAGGATAGATAGATAGATAGATAGATAGATAGATAGATAGATAGATAGATAAGCACAGTCTGAGATAGATAGATAGATAGATAGATAGATAGATAGATAGATAGATAGATAGATAGATTACAGATTGAAATGTAAATACTGAAATTGATAGATAGATAGATAGATTACAAATTGAAATGTAAATATTGAAATAGATAGATAGATAGATAGATAGATTACAGCTTGAAATGTAAATATTGAAATAGATAGATCGATAGATAGATAGATAGATAGATTCAGGGTGAGTGATAGATGAAAAGACCAAGATAAATGATGTAATTCGATTAAAGCTTTTTAGTCAAGCAAATTAGAGTTGAGCTACTATCACAATCTGCTTCTAATATGTGCATTCCCCATATGCTATATATATATATATATGTGTGTGTGTGTGTGTGTGTGTGTTTGTGCGTGTATGTATGTATGTATATTCTATCAACGACTTAGACTATGTGACTAAAAATGGAGAAAAGTAACTAACTTTGGAACTCAAATTCACCACAAACCTCAAGAGGAATTCATATGTCCGATTGATCGGTAAAGGTACTGGAAATTAGTCGGTTCCCTGTACCGTAGCAGTAATACCTGACTCCTCCTGCCATGCTCTGCCTTAACAAGTGCTAGATCAGATCCAAAAGGGAGTGCTGATTCGATATTGGGTTTGGATCTACACAGCCCACACTTTCGAGTATTGCTAGAGTTCAAAAGTGTCTGGGCTGCCTTGTAGCTGATGAATTATTTTCAACCCCTTTCTTACAGACAGCACTTCGCTAGCCTCTCGATATCCTATTGCTATTTCCATGCCAAACGTTCTAACGAACTATATTCTTTACCCCACGCCCTAGTTTAAAGCTTCACACATAGGACACGCCATTCTATGTACGCTGGGGACGAATCTTGTCCTCTCCCCTCGAATTCCGTTAGTAAGAAAGAGGTTCATCACGAACATATTCATACCAAGAACCCCTATTTTGTGGAACAGACTCCCGAGATGATGCTTTCCCGATCACTACAATCTATGAGTTAACCGCTATCTTACCTACATATCCTCATAATCTACCCTTCTTACCTCCTCCTCTCGCGTTCATACAACAACCCTGTTCAGACTCCCTGAAGGATGCTTCCCTGGTCATTACAATCTTAAACTCTTCAATTCTAGGGTCAACTGTTATCTATCCTACATATCCTCATGATCTGCACTTCTTAACCCCTCCTCTCACATTCATACTACAACCTAATTCATACTCCCAAGAGGATGCTTCCCCGATCACTACAATTTAAAAATCATGCGTTAACCGCTATTTTCCTACATATCCTCATGAATTGCACGTCTTACATTCTCCTTTTACGTTCATACAATAATCTTATTCAGCAACCTCCCACTCTGAGTGGCTCTTGGGCCTTGTATTGAGTAAACAATTTAATGTTTAAAAGCACAGTTTAACGTAGCTGTCAATTAGAAAATTGTCGATTTAAGTACACGAATCGTAGAATGTGTTTGTTGTTTTCTTATTCACAGCAATGGGTGGGAATCATGAAACACACTTCGCTATGAATCTAGGGACCTTTTGGTGTTTTTTGTTTTTATCTTGTTCTTTGTTCCTGTTTTTGTTTTTTACATGACCTTTTCCGTAGCTCATTGGCAGTTCTTAGTTACCAGAACCCCAGAAGGTTTTAACATCCCCACCACACCGTATATCTGTTCAAGGTTTAATTTCCAAACTGGAAACCGAATCATTAAGTACTTTTACTTGAATGTTTTATTTCTGACTCCTTTGGCCTGCATACCAACCGCAAGTGAAAACATTCCTCCTGTCACAGTAGATATTGAATAAGCTTAGGTTAGACTTGATCCACTCGCACAATAGTGGTACACCCAGTGAGGACCGAACTAACTCTTCGAGCGATAATCATATCATCACGGGGTGTAGTTATTTACTAAATCTAGCTTAATCTAACACAGAATCAAAATAGTGGGACATCCAGTGAAGACCGACTCACTTCTCACGAAGCTTACTAATTTTCTCTCTACATCAAAATATCCATCTGACTAATCCATTATTCAGAATTACTATTGTAATGGATAACGGCTCGGATTGAGGAATTGGAGATCCGAGTTCGAATTCCAGTCGAATTCATTACATTCACTTACGTGCTAATACTCTTGGGAAAGGTATGAAACCTCTTCTCCTCACCCCTCCACTGCTATGGGTAAATAGCAGGACAGACCGGGTTCTATAGCTTTAGATGGCAACTAGTCTACCGCAGAGATGGCAACCTACTGCGGGAAAAAAATATGCCTCGTCAGTCATGTATCGAAAGGTACATGATCGCCTAAGCGTGTATCACGCATGGTACATGACTGACTGATTACAGGCAAATGCTCGAAGATGTGACCACACATAACGGAAAAGTGGGTGAGCAACTCCATTTTTGCTCTACACAAAAGAATCCCTAAATTTGTTTAATGGACAAATAAATTTAAAATTTAAAAATTGAATTGGTGGAATTTATGACATATCAAACCTCTTTAAAATATTTAATGTCAAAATCTGTTTTTCTTTTTATTGTACCTGAGTTTATAGATAAATATTGTTTGTGTTTAGACTTGAATCTCTCGGTAAACATTGATTGGGGTTATATGTAAACATTGGTCAAGTTTATACTTGAATCTTCGGATAGCGAAAGATGAAGACAAAATATTCTTACGCAGAGTATAAATATTTTGACGGCCTTACTTTTATATATTAATAAAATATATATTTGCTGGTTGATATAAACTGATTTATTTTCGTTTATATAGTCATATTTTTCTTTTTTTGTGTGTCTTAGTTGAACTCATAACTTAGTTTTCATTTGATTCAGACTTGTAACCTCGTTTTCATTTGACTCATTTAAACTCGTAAACTGGTTTTCATTTGACTCAGATAAAGTCGTAACCTCGTTTTCATTTGACTCAGATAAACTCGTAACCTCGTTTTCATTTGACTCAGTTAAACTCGTAACCTCGTTTTCATTTGACTCAGTTAAACTCGTAATCTCGTTTTCATTTGACTCAGACTTGTAACCATTTTCATTTGACTCGCTTAAACTCTTAGCCTCGTTTTCATTTAACTCGTGTAGACTCGTAACCTCGTTTTCATTTCCCGTTTAGGTGACTCTGAATACATTTTCCTCTGTTATTCACTATTTCTAAACCCTAAAAGAGAATTTAAGAGATTCTTAGCATGGGGCAATTGTCTGTTAAACTCATATATTGCATACACATGTTTTTGTTCGCGGATGAGTAGTTTAAAGTGTTGTTTTGAATTACATGAATTATACCATTTCTTTTCGCGTTTTCAAACTTTGCTTCCCTCCAGAAGAGTGACTACGCAAGTATCGTGACTCACTTGATCCCGGAAGTTAAGCAACGTTCTGCTTGGCTAACCCTAAATAAGAACATAGTTTTGAAATTTAAGTATTGTACCTTTTATACATATAATTGTTCGACACTGTCAGTCACGGTTATCTTAATTCTTGACTACTGAAAATACGTTTTTTTTTTACGATTTGTATATTTTTTGTTGTGGTAAGAGCCAGTTACCCTCCTTACTATCATGAATGGACTGATCCATTCACGATAAGTAGTCCTGGGCAATTGTCAAGAAGGAAAAGAAGATAATAAGATTGCAGGGACTTGTCCAGCTGGGTAGTAAATACTACTGTCACGACTGAGTCAGTCCAGTGTTGTATCTTGCCAGACTCCACGTCACAACAATTCTTATAGTAAAATAATTTGCCATGCGAGTCTATAATCAAATAATCTGCTATACTGTTATATACTAAAATAATTCGCTTCGCATTTCTATAATAAAATATTTAGCTATGAATTCCAATAGTAACAAAAATCTATAATAAATTTCTATTACACATTTGCATAACGATGGGCGAAACGGTAATATTGTTACCAAAAGTAGTTTCTTTAATTCTTTCTTTATATATATATATATATATATCAAGAAAGAACTAAAAAAATTATATATATATATATATATATATATATATATATATATATATATATATATAAATATATGGATATAGATCCGACAGTATGAAGAAAAATATACTGAAAAAACAAACAAAAATCCTAATATGCAATTATGCTGTTTTAATGTTTAATGTCAACATCGGACCGAAACCGAAACGTCCGACGTTGAACATTAAAACAACATAATCGCATATTAGGATTTTGTTTGTTTTTTCAGAATATTTTCTTCACATATATATATATATATATATATATATATATATATATATATATATATATATATATATATATATATATATATATAACTAAAGAACTACTTTTGGTAACAATATATATATAATATATTTATTGGAACCTCCGGTCGGTTTCGACGTATAAGGATCTGACAATTTAACCAATTGATTCAGTTATGAATTTTGTGCGATAATCTTAAGTGGCACTTAAGACCCGCTGGTGATTTGCAAAGGAGGCCGCATATGGAGCAAGTGTGAGGATTGTGGGATGAGATCATTGATAGAGTGGCTGACCGTTTAGATTTTGCTCTTACTTGAACCCGATTTTATATATATATATATATATATATATATATATATATATATATATATATATATATATATAAGTAGGTGTGTGTGAGTGTGTGTTTAAAAGTTTCAGATATAAATAAAATAGACGTGTAAAAGGACACTATAAATACAGGCAAAAGGAAAACTTATCTTAGCCGACCCGTTTCATCCTCTGGTGAATTTTATCAAAGAAAATGTAAGGATTTTATTTGGAAATAATTATTTATAAACAAAAATCTTAATCTTTAAAAAGTTTTAATCTTAAGAGATGTTCATAAACGTTCATCAGTTTAAGTGAACAGTTGAGGTAAATTATGGAGCATTGCTAATTGACGGCATTTATTGTCAAATAAATGAAATCATTAAATGATTTTCTTATTGATTTTTTTTATGCAATTAATATTTAAATTACTTCAGCGTGGTTTAAATTTACGTACTTTACGTATATATATATATATATATATATATATATATATATATATATATATATATATAACAGGTTATGAATTTAACCATTTACACTTTTGCGTATAAATACTTGCCAAGTGCATGGTACATAACTGACTGATTACAGGCATAGATATATATATTAACAGCAAACGAAACAAGATGGATGTAAAATAGGTTTTGCCCAAAATAGGAGATTCAATTTTGCTTCCCTTTTCTTCATCATAGATAAATATGAACAGACTGATATATATATATATATATATATATATATATATATATATATATATATATATATATATATATATATAGGTAAAATGAGAACAATTCCACTGCCCATAGTATCCTAAATTAAATAATATATATATATATATATATATATATATATATATAAGGTAACATCAATCAGCTAAGTGACAAACCTCATATATATATATATATATATATATATATATATATATATATATATATATATATATATATATATTAACAGCAAACGGAACGACAAGATGGATGTAAAATAGGTTCTGCCCAAAATAGGAGATTTAATTTTGCTTCCTTTTCCTTCATCTTCATCTATCGTCTGCGTCTGTCAATGACGTGTCAGGTGGTGTTTTTTCTTCATTAATTTTCCTGAAGATCACGCTTCATAAGAAAAAGGGGATTCGTTAGTAAATATTTAGATAAAATGGCTATACCCATTCATACACTATGAGTGACACACACACACGACACCCGCACGCAACCGCCACAATCACAGTATCTTTCTGTCTCCCTATCACACTCCTACATACGTACGTATACAGAGATGGATACGCATGAAAATGAGTTCTGTACGACTGTTGGTACGAGTTTACAGATCAATACTTCTAGAGGAATACCGAGAGTATCAGTGAAAGAAAGAACGTCTGTAAGTGTGGGAGAAGGCCAGTACGGTTAGTGGTAGTAGAGAAAAAAAAACCATTGTAAAAACAGGCATAGAATCATTCAATATATAAACTCCACCTTCAAAGATAGATAGATAGATAGAAATGATCAGACGAAGATAGACAGATTGACAGAAATGATCAGACGAAGATAGATAGAAACAGAATGCAATAGATAAATAGATATAAACAAATTTAGATAGATAGATAGATAGATAGATAGATAGATAGATAGATAGATAGATAGATAGATGATCAGAGGAAGATAGACTGACAGAAATTATCAGACGAATATAGATAGATAGATAGATAGATAGATAGATAGATAGATAGATAGATAGATAGATAGATAGATAGAAAGAAACAGAATGCGATAGATAAATAGATATGAACAAACTTAGATAAATAGATAGGAACAAGCTGGGATAGATAGATAGATAGATAGATAGATAGATAGATAGATAGATAGATAGATAAAGAAACATAGATAGATAGATAGATAGATAGATAGATAGATAGATAGATAGATAGAAACAGACAGATAGATAAATAGAACAAACTTCATACTCCTATCATTTGTAAACGTCTATATCGATGGCACGACGATATACGGGCGCAACTCTAAAAGTTTTTGACGATCAGACATCGGCAGCTGACCTCTCTTTTGATCCAACACTAACCTCCCAGTGGGGAAAAACTGGCTGGTTACATTCACGATGAACGGATGACCCCACGAGCAGACCCCTTGCCGCGAGAGGATATTGGGCTTCAAATTCATACCGGACCTCAAATGGATTCGTTATATACGATCTATCGTTAAAGATGCAGGTAAAATGATCGGCTGCCTGTACCTCTCCAATAATTACCTGACTCCTCCTGCTATCTTCAGTCTTTATAAGAGCCATATCAGGCCGAAAATGGAGTACTGTTGCCATATTTGGGCAGGAACTGCGCAGACCTCATTTTCCAGTCCTGATAGAGTTCAAATGCGTCTCCGAGTCCTTGTTGGGAAAGAATTACTTTCCACCCTCTTTCATAGGTGGGGTGTGGCGAGCCTCTCCCTAATCTATTGCTGCTACCATGAAAGGTGCTGGGACGAACTGCATCTTCTGGTTTCACCAGGTCCTACTTTCACGGCTAGAACCTGCCATGCAACTGACATAGTAGCAAACCACCCACCCTCCCTCTGTATACCATCGACGAGATTTAAGTTCCATTCAAACAACTTCTTCCGACGAACCACTGTCCAATGGAACAGACTCCATAGACTGTGTTTCCCCGATCATTTCAATCCTAACCTGTTGAAGTCAAGAGTCAACCGTTATCTTCAACTCCTATAAACTACCCATTATCGTAACACTCTACCTCGAGTGGCCTCCGGGCCTTGTACAGGTTGAACATTACTGTAAAAACATATAAAGTGCATATCAAATTTAATACCATTTTACATTTCCACCGAAATGCTGGTCAGCTCCCTTTTATTGAAACGCTTGTTTTGCAAACAGTTCAATAACTAAAACGAATAAATTTAAAAATTGTAAATAACTATAACAGCGCGTTCGCGCGTCTTTTTAAAATCACCGTCACAACGGAATGCAGATTTTATCGCAGTTACAATAAGTTTGTGTTTGTAATTTATCCCTGAAGATGATCATGGAAAAGGTCGAAAGGACTTGGTTAAAAACATTTACGGTACTTTCCTTGATGAATTTCATCTTAACATCAAGAATCTGATTAGATAACTAGAAATGATCAGTATAAAAATAAGTAGACATAATATATCTATATTATTCAATGAAACATGTTTGAATTAAGATATGATGCACACACACACACACACACACACACACACATATATATATATATATATATATATATATATATATATATATATATATATATATATATATATAGTTTATGCAAAACTAGGCAATCCGCATGGGTAGACCCAAGGAGGATGATATCCGGAGAGCTCAATGTAAAATTCAGAGTCGATATGTTTGAATAAAAACAGACCACTTTAAGGTTCCATGTAATAAGTTATTTCACCACAACCCCTTTAACAGGGCTCTGGATCATCAGACTTTACTTATTACGATGAATCATTCATGCAAAAAGTAAATTGGTAAAGTTAATGAAATAAAATGACGAATTCACTTCGCTAAGTTTTTAAAACTTTACTGATTTCCTTTTCGTATGAATGATTCATTGTAATATAAATTAAATTTCACCATATAATTGATTTAAAAGAAATGAAACTGATCCGATGTGCAAACTTTCGAGAAAACAACTGAGACATTACTTTAGTTATTGAACTATTTAGTTCATGTCACGTTGACTGATAAACACCTACAAGAAAAATAATTCTTAAATTGCCATATTAGTAAAAAAAAAAAAAAAAAAAATTCTCACACTTAAATTTTCAAAAATTCTACCTTAGTGTTGCGGCTGCGCACTCAACAAGTTTGTATCTGTTAATTAATAACACATTTAAAAAAAACAGATTTTGATTTGGATTATATTTTTCGTCTCGGATGCTACCTGGACTTTACCAAAAAGAAAATAGTTTTCATGCCTGATGATGACCGGAGAAACTGTCGAAAGTACTTGTATATTTAAAGAAGACCTAATAGAGTTTATAATTTTAAAAAACAAGGATCATAACATTTATCGAGTGGTTCGTGGGTTAATGCATCTATAAAATTTAGTAAGCGAAGGGATTTCGCCATTTTATATCATTATCTTCACTAATTTACTTTTTGTATGAATGATTCATTGTAATATAAATTAAACTGCACCACATAATATATATATATATATATATATATATATATATATATATATATATTATATTTATATATATATATATATTTTCATTCAAAAATGTTTGGTTAAATAATTTAAAGATATCATGTCGATTAGTTTTCGTTGTGATTCTTTCTTTCAAGTTCGCGGATTAATTTTTTGTAGACTTAGAAAACAGAATAAGAAAAAATATCTAAATTTTATTCCGAATAGTTTTTATTTTCCCAAGTACTTTCAATCTAGAACGCTGCATAAGCAGTAAAAAAAAAAACGAAGAGTTGAAACGTTTAAAATTGATGGAACCACATATACATACTCAAAGACAACTTAACCCCCTGAAGATAATCTCAGGTGAGATTGGAAATACTTGGGAAAATAAAAACTGCTCGAAAGAAAATTTTAGTATTAGGTAGGTAGTTAATTCGATTTTTTTGTTTATCCTGAAAAACCATTTTTTCCCCACCCGCTTTTCTTTGGTATTTTTCATTTTGTATTTTTCCCCTTTATTTTTCTTGCAATCTTAAGTATTTATTATTTGGGCGTTTTTGGGTTTTTTTTTTTTT